CAGATGATGCTGCGACATACCCAGGATTATTACGGACACCCAGGAGCCCAACGGCACAGCAAGTCAAGTACAAAAGCCCCCCGCCACCAAGTAGCTGGTTTAACCTCAAAAAGGTCTGCTCCAATTGACTACCCTTCAAGAAGTGTATGACTTCTGACACAAGTATAGCACTGAAAAGCTGGGGTTCGCCTTCTAGCTTTAAGTCTGGAAGAACACTCAGTGTACATGAAACGGATCCACTGTTATGAACTGCAAAGCAAATAAGCATTAGATGTGCACCAGCAAATTGGCGCAAACCGTTGTGGGAACCAAAACACACCGACGCATCCCTCGAATGTAACAACAAGTATTATCTGCCCCAAATATAGCTCATATTAATGCCTATCTTATCTGTCCTACACAATTGTCTGCACAGCATCAATACCAGTTGTATATATATATATATATCTAGCTCACATATATGTTATATCTCTATCAGTTACCGTCCGCCATATGTACAGGCACCCAATACAAATCAATCCCTCTGCATCAACACCGATCTATACTATAAATATATCGTTCCTGCACCCGGCTGTCTCTTTATTTCGCATGCAACCCAGACTTCCAACTATATACCCTGTTTTTTCCGTAGCAACTCCCATAGTCACCGCACATAGCCCACATCTACTTACCTTTTCCACTCTGTATCAGCTTCCATCTCTCCTGTATGTAGCTAAGATGCTCCTCACTCATATCCAGAGCCACCACATGCGCCCCTGCTTGTGCTGCTGCAAATGTGTTGATACCCCATGCAGCTCCCACGTCCAGGATCGGGAGCTTGGTGGTCTCATCTGCTGTGCTGATATATACGGGAAAGATGATATGATTTGTACATATCTCTGCGTATCAGGTCTAGCAAACATATATACATAGCCTATACACGAATTGAATAGTAACGATAGCCACGATGCTGACAACACTTCGTAGGCCCAAATGTTGTGCTAGAAGCCATAAATATATCCGATAGCAAGATGTGATGATCTCGGTACTTACGACATACTAAGAGTTTATCACACACCAAAAGCTTGACCCTAAACTAAACTACTAAGGATTCAAAAGTGAGCTATATTCGATGAAGCATGCCGTTCCCTAGTCTTCTTTTTTTTAACTAGAATGACGATATCGAATACCCACCAGTGAAGAGCTTTGTGCTGTCTGTAATCCCAGAATACGATATAATGCATCAGTTGGTTCGCTATTCGGCTCACCGTGAGTGGTGGGGTGCCTGGTTTCACTAAATATCGCTTGAGAAGAAAGTGTGTCACGCTTATCATTGTATAGTTAAGAGCTTATAATTCTCTAAGCAAAGGATTATCCTTGGATGTGCGCAGTTCCACAACGCAATAGTACTGCAACATAAGTGGTCGTAGTTCAGTACAGCATCCCAAGTTTAAATATAGCAAGCCGAAGACTGTGAACTAAGGCAATTGCACGCATTCTAAGAGAATTGCAAGCATTCCCAAGAGAATTGCACGCATTCCAAGAACACTGCACACATTCCAAGAGAATTGCACGCATTCCAGAGAATTGGACGCATTCCTTCGCAAGCCTTCTTTGTTGCGGAACCGGACTCGATGTGCCTTACCGATATCTAGTCGACATATCCACTTGAGGGGCCATAGTACATACATTCTTGCTAGTACAATGTCACAACTTCAAGGCAGTTGAATGATTATAAGCTCAATCCCCTATTCATTTATCCGCACGGAAAACCAAAATACAAACATACTGGCTATAGCAATGAAACACTCTCAAAGCAATCCTACGAGTAAGTGCGCGAAACACTATAAACATATACACATGGGAAACAATAGCATGCACGTACTGGCTATAACAATGGAGCAATATAAACAATATCAAAGCAATCCAATGAGTCTGTGCGCAATACACTGTAAACATGTTCACACGGAGAACCATAGTATACACCTACTGGCTATAACAATGAGACAGTATCAAAGCAATCCAATGAGTCTGTGCGCAAAACACTGTATACATTTCTCCATGGGAAACCATAGTACAAACCTACTGGCCATACCGATGCAACAATATCAAAACAATTGAATTATTACATGAGCGAACAACTGCTCGCATACACATCATATCACGCCAACCACTGTACAGCTAAGCCATGTGTTTACACGTGACCACCTGCGAGCAGCTGATATTACTCACATTCGAATCCCGTAAACGAGACTTACAAGAAGTGGACTTGTAACAAGTGGACTTGTAACAAGTGGACTTGTAACACGTGGAACAACATATAATATGACAGCTAGGTTAGCACAGATCAAAACCCACAGAGCTTCAACGCATATGCGAGATTGTATCTGATACAGTATTGTTTAGAATGATGTGCATTGTGCAGCCGGAAGATTGCATTTGACCATCTGAGCGTCGTTGGTACTACTTGTACAAAACCCACTCTGCACCTTCGACACTTGAACGCAATGAAAAAACATAGTATACACTAATTTAATATAACAATACTATAGCAGAGATACGCCTTAGTGTAGTCGTAACACTTTTTATGTGGCCATCTATAAGCCTTTGTGGCTGCAAGTAATCAGCCCAGTACTACTTCGATACACAAAATACATGGTACACATACTCGCGTATATAACGCCTTACTGTTATAACATATTCTTTGTGTATGTACGCAGATATATACCTTGTTCCTGTACCGTCGTAACACGCTATCCACTGTGCAGCCAGGGGGTTGCATGTGGCCATCTGAAAGCCCTTGTGATTGTTTGTGCCTAATTCGCCAGAGGGAAGTACAGTCAAATCGTACTTCTCTAGAAGAGCTTTCTCTTGCTCGGTGGCCGTCATTGTTTATATATGTCGCCACGTCAAAACTCGGATAGCGTGTGGATTGTGTTATAACCTGCGCATATACACGAAAGAAAGTCATGTTGGGTGTATCAGGTTGTCCGTGCGTGTACTGTATACTCGATGTATCTACATTTAAATATAACCTGTCTATAAGCACGAAAGCCGCGTATGGCATAATAGGTTTGACATGTTGTACGCGTATGTACAGTATACTTGATGTAACTACATATACGTATATCCCATGCATATGCACTAGAGTCACGTATGGCGTAGCAGGTTGTGCGTATGTGTACTGTATACTCGATGTATCCACATATACGTATATCCCATGCACATGCACTAAAGTCGCGTATGGCGTAGCAGGTTGTGCGTATGTGTACTCTGTACTCGATATATCTACACATACGTATATCCCATGCATATGCGCTAAAGTCGCGTATGCGTAGCAGGTTGTGCGTGTGTGTACTCGGTACTCGATGTATCTACCTATACGTTTATCCCATGCATATCCACTAAAGTCGCGTATGGCGTAGCAGGTTGTGCGTGTGCGTACTCTGTACTCGATGTATCCACATATACGTATATCCCATGCACATGCACTAAAGTCGCGTATGGCGTAGCAGGTTGTGCGTGTGTGTACTCTGTACTCGATGTATCTACATATACGTATATCCCATGCATATGCACTAAAGTCGTGTATGGCGTAGCAGGTTGTGCGTGTGTGTACTCTGTACTCGATGTATCTACATATACGTATATCCCATGCATATGCACTAAAGTTGCGTGTGGTGTAGCAGGTTGTACGTGTGTCTACCTTCAGATATGTCCTGTCCATGTACACGAAAGTTCCAAACGGCGCTGTGCATAGCTTGTCACTCGAGTCTTGAATTCTATCATTTTGCGTCTACGTTCAACGTTTACTGCAAGATGTTATCTTCACATCTTGACAGTTGACACTGAACTGTATAGCAACCAGCCCGCCAAATTGAACAAACCTAATTTGGCAACAGCTTTGTATGCGATTTTTCAGTGACTCGAAGACAGCAGCTGTCAGCAGGTGAGCAGGAAACAGGGTCACACAGGCTGACACAGTCCACAGCCCCACACTCACAGTCACAGCCATGAGCCAGAAAGTACTTTAATATCATATGTAGCGTCCCTAAACTCAACATAAATATTTGTACATTTAGACTGGGCGGAGGGCCTCGACAGCACAGTCACTGCCTCATTGGTCAGTGGTTACAGACTTAGAGGCTGATTTCTGAACTATGTAGTATTTACATGTGTTTACATGATATTCACTTACAGCTCACTAGAGTATATGTGTACGTACCACTCCTGACTAAACACCTTTCATCAGACTTGAGAAACACTTTGGGCATCTGCTTAGATTGATTGTCTTATGATAGCAACACTACGTTGAGCAAGCCCATTCACAAATTTGGAGTCGATATAGTAGAATTCTTGTGAGTACAATACTATCTTGAAGGTATACGCACTCAGTGTATTTGATAGAATTAGTTGCTGTCTTACAAAATAGCTGCTTGTGTATAAGCCGAGACCACTCAATGTATATCGCTGAAACGAGTGGTTGCTGATCGATCGCCAACCCTTAATATGGCAAACGGTGAGCAAGCTGTTACATAACCCAACATTCAAATATATATCAGCAAAATATTAAAGGAGGAATAGTATCGGCATCTTAAATGTTCCCCCCTGCAATCTCGATCTCGTACAACTTAAAGTATAATTCTACTCGCCTGAACGAGACTTATCATATCCCCGACAGATCAGAATTGTGCAATTTATTACCCATGTACACTGTTGTAACTTTGCTTGCGTTTGGGAAATGTGTGATACGCACTTTCATATCACAAAATTGCGTTTCTTTTTTCATATCTCAATCTTCCACAGAGTCGGGCATATCGTCAGCGGCGAACTTCTTTTATTGAGACCTATTCAGTCATTCTTTGTTTATAAACTTTTACTAAAATATCTTTTTTTAACAAATTAACTATAATATCATATATTTAACGCAAGTTAAGTTCAGTGAAGAGACTGTGCACCAAAGGAGAGAATTCCTACATGTCTCAACCGGGTGAAAATTTCACAAGCACGATTACAACTATAAATCATTCAGCAGCGTGAGCATAACACTCAATGGTGATGTTCTCCGTGTCAGTTGTGTCATGATACTTGTGTTCTTGTCGTGCGCCTGCCTGATGTCAAAGCCTTCATCTAAAGCAAAGTTAAAGTCGTGCAAATACTCACTCGAAGTTACTTTCTGGTATTCTTCATTGCCCAAGGCGTAAAGCAACTGGAGGTGTGCAGCAGGAGCCGTCCATACCTCTAGTGTCTGAGTGGTGACGGTTTCATCCGTATTGATCTTACGTTTTGCCTCATTCAATACGTATATCACACTCTTGGGATGTGAGCATACCACATGGTTGTCACCCACACTCACCACCATGCGTCCTGCTTTAATCCCAGCGAGGAAAGCGGACTGATTTGGGTCGACCCTGACTATAACACTCTGGCGATTGAAGTCCAGGCCGATAGAGAGAGCTTTATTTTTCTTTTCTACTGATTTACTGGCATCATTATATGCACCCTGAATCACCAATTCATGGCAAGCGAACTTACTTTTCTCATTCACATCCATAACAACCTCGCTGGCAGCATCCAAAGTAGCGTACACGTCGTCTAACGATCCCATATCCACGACATGCCTGCCATTGATCTGTGTTATTTCATCACCAAACTCCAGTCCCGCCATATAAGCTGGGCTTAACTCGGGGCGTAGAATATCAGCTCTGTGCTTACTTATGTAGGCTACATATACACGCCCCTGTGAGTGCAACAAAGTGGCACCGAAGGAGATTCCCTCGGCTTTCTTGAGCTCGATCGTCCTTAGTCGTTTCGTCTCTTGTTCGAAATCCTTCAGTTTGTTCCCCACCTCTGTAATGTTAGCGACAGTCATTGTAGCGAGTTTATTACGTCCGTTGCGATTCAATGGCGTGTAGAATTGATGTTCACTTGTATGCAAATTCCAGTATATAACCAAATAAATACGTTGTATATGCATGAATGAATATGGATATCCACAAGTCCGCAACTCACAAGGGCTCATTCATAAATACAACCACGTCCTGTCCACATCACAGTTCACATAAATCTGTACCGTGACTCATTTTCTTTGTCATCATTCTCCAGTTTGGTGATAATCATCCAATCTATTTTAGTTAATTTCTGGGGATTGATATTTGTTGTTATTTAAAAAAAAAAGAAGCAATTGATCGTTTTCTATATAGAATATCAATCGTTTTGTCTGACCATCTCTCTCTTTTTCTCTCTCTATTATGGGTGAGAAGAATTTGCCCGTGAGACAGCACTCTTTTGCTTTTGCGTTCGATGTGTTAATGCATGATGATGGGTGCGAACAAACAAATTTTAGCATCCGATAGCATAGCCTTCTAATTAGACACCGATAGACCAACATTATAGGGGTCACCAATGTAGTATCAGTCGAGCCTCTCATCACCTTGTGCCGATTTCATCGACCTTCAACATCACCGCTTGATCAGTACTATCTACTAGCACATACACGCGTAGTATGCGTATATAAATATGGTTATCTAGCACTCCTACATCCATAGTATGCATATATGAAGATGGTTTTCTAGCACTTCTACATCCGTAGTATGCGTATATAACGATGGGCTCAGCAACTGGAAGCTTTTTGAGTCGTATAAGTCATTTATATACTTGAATACAGATTAATATTACACACCAGCAAATGATTGCACTGGATTTTAGTACTCAGCACGCGCAATTCAGAATCATCTCAGATAGAATGGCCTGATAATTTGCTTTGGCCTTTCGAGCGACTCAGACTGGTCTGTAAAACGATCCGGGGGTATTCGCGAAACTTTTCAAGAGATTGCATTGGTTGGTATCATGTATCTCCCAAGTTCCAAGGCTTTGGTAGCACTCAGCGCAATATATATACTTCACGATGTGAATTGGACAGCTGTTTAGCTCTTGATGGATTTTACTTAAACAGGACCACCACGTGCACCCTTATTCGTGCAACGTACCATCAAGGGATGATGGCTTGCTACCTCGCATCTCAGCAAGGTCACCAGTCGATTCCTCATGGTTACCATAGCGCTTGCTTTCTTAAAGGCAAATATACGGTCTGGTTATAGCTTTCGAGTGTGTGTAGCTCGGAAGTCGACATAGTTATACCGGGGGTGATATACGCATGCGGAGGTATATACACACTAACCATGCAATTGTAATCAACGAAAGGGTCTATCCCCTCATCTATTTCAATGTTGCTGGCCGATGTTGGTAACTGTGCGATGCTCGGAGTATTCGCATGACTGGAAATAACAGAACGTGCTATTTGAAGCCGATATATCTCACATTGATGATATGCTAAATGCTAATACTTTATTTTTATAGTGAAGGGTGTCACATGTCAAACCTATATTTGGAGTGGCTCAATACTATATAAGGAACTCTTAGCAACCGATGGCAGAGCTGTCCTGGCGTTGCTGGAAAGTGTGGAAATAAAGCCTTGGAGGTCCTGTGCTTGCTCACATACCTGCAACATTAAAACAATGTGAAAATTAATCCTCGTTAGCTACAATATAAAGTCAATTGCGTAGTCTATCATGCACTGAATAGCATACTATATACACATTAGATGAGTGAAGCAGTGCTTGCGGGTACATCACTGCCGATATATATATATATATATATAATATATATATACTATATACATATATATAAATAAATATATATTTATTTGAATATATATATATATTATATTATAGATTCTAGTTAGACAAAAGGCGCCGAGCATTACAAAGCTCCGTGATCAACACTACTTGAATAAATCATTTCCCTGAAGTATTCATACCTACATAGCTAAGGTACACATGAATGCGAAGGCCCTCTACTTGACCCCGGATCGCGGTCTTTGCGAGGTTATCTAGCGCTTTCGCATACCCAGAACTCTCCATAATCGAGTACGGCCATGCCATACCTACATTCCTAGCTATCCATGAGTGACCCAGAGCTTTTGCACACGAACACCCTAGTGTCAAGCACTGACATCCCATGCATATATACTCGGCTACCAAGGTATGGCATATGTGTCACAAGTGGTTGCACATAAGAAGAAAACGTATTCGCTCTGGTTACTTACCGCTAATTCTCGGAGCATCGCCTCTTTGCAGTTGACTAGTACTTGACGTGCGTCTGGGAACAGCACTAACCTGGCCATCTCAGCATCTAAGATCACGGCAATCCATGTGATAACCTGCGAGGCGGTGATTGAACAAGGGTTAATATATTGCATGGGTGTGTACACACAAACACATACACATGCAGATACATGCATGTACATGTACACATAAACAGACATATACATACACATACCGTACACATGGCATACCCATACCCATACCGTACACATGGCATACACATACCCATACACGTCCACGACACATAAACTTACACATAAACACTGACAAAAGCACATATACACACCTTCAGGCATGTACATATAGACTTCTACACTAGCTGCACACTGACAATAGTGAAGTCGCGCGCGCTGGGATACACAAAAGAGCAGACGTATGTCATTCTCAAGACTAGGAGCCAGCAATTCCTGGCCATTTATAACTCAGCTACATAAATAGAAGTACACGCACGTGCCTATTAATCACTTTTGAGGTACAACTACTGGGGTATGCATTGCAGGCAAAAGACCCAAAAGGATACAAACACGACCCTCCTGTGTGTCTGTTATCTACAGAAGCACATGGCCAACGGCACACCTCGCCAGCATATCACTGTTCTAACCTTAGAACTATGCAATGCCCATCAGTTTGTGAGTTGCCTATAAAATCACTTTTGAGGTACAACTAATGGGGTATGCATTGCAGGCAAAAGACCCAAAAGGATACAAACACGACCCTCCTGTGTGTCTGTTATCTACTGAAGCACATGGCCAACGACACACCTCGCCAGCATATCACTGTTCTAAACTTAGAACTATGCAATGCCCATCAGTTTGTGTGTTAAACGCGTAGGCCAACCAACTCCATCCAGCCTCTGGTATAAAGATTCAGTACACGGTCACCCGGTTTACCTACCAAGGAAGTCCAGGTGGTAAATCTGACACTAACCACTCAGAGCACTACACTACAATGTATACAGCAACCCAATCTATCTGTCTATTACCCCGCCAGTCTCATTGTCTACATATACTAATCTGGTTCTAACGCAATTCTATCCACAAATAACCGCTTCGGTACACGCACTATAGCCTGAGTCAACTACAAGTACCACTGCCTCGGCTATAGCGACATCAAAAACGTGGTTTACATATATTGGTCCACTAACCTGGTTTAAGCTGGGCAGTCGGGTAGGCCTGAAGATTTCATGGAGTCGCTTTTCACTCATCTGGCCGTACAGCACCAGCATCTGATATTGAAACTGCAGTATAGTCTGCAAAGGGGCAATTCAACGCGTTAAGACGTACGATTTCAATAGAACGTTGGTTGTGTGCTTAATTCGTTTGTGAAATGTTGATGTATATACGTCTATAATCCAACGCGGTATGCTGGTGTTGGATGTATATGTACGGGATGGATACCAACACCAAAGAACGAGTGGTACACACTGCATCGCAGCTAATGATACAGCACATATCGTGTACACATATGCGCAACACATGTCATATGTTCGCTCCAAAACATTGCCTGCTGGTTTGTCGCAGTCTACTCTCACCGGGTATATAGATGTAGAGATAGATACATAGAAGTTGACTAAATTATAAAAATGGATGTACATATACATATACATGTACATATATATATACATGTACATATATATATTATATATGTATATACATATATATATTATATATGTATATACATATATATATATATATGCATACATACATGCATACATGCATATATATATATATATAATATATATACATGTCTATATCCATGTGTGCGTACGTACATACCATGATTTGCGTCAAACTACAGGCACCGAGTGCAGTGCGCAGGAACTTCTCATTAAAGCGTGCGGTTGTGATAGTGCTGAGCATATGGTGTACACCGGGGTGTTCTCCGCGATGCTGTACAGCAACGGAGGTGCGCTTGATTCCCTTCTTAAGGGGTTTCTCGGCCAAGTACTTGTCGAGTGCTTTTAGATCGGCAGACGACATGTCCAAGACGTGTCGTAGACTTGCAACAAGCACGGGTTCGGCGATATCGCTCATGTGTAGGTAGCAGGTCTCCAAGAGTTCTGTAGGAAATTAGACATGAAGGGGTCAGTTTGATAAGTGTTGTACTTCTATATCTGCAGAGAGGTGGTTGCTGCGTAACACGTGTGACACAATACGTGTTAGTGTGTGTATAAGGGCGAGTATCGGTTGTAAGGCTAAAGATGTGACTAGCAAGTGACGCAGGCAGCATAGACATATTATAGGATATATATGCATACATGCATACTTACATCCATACATAAACACGCATACTTGCATACTGCATACATCGTATATACATGGCACAACATACTATATGATTGCTGGTTTTCGGCAATTTGGATGTGTTGGAGTAAGGCCACGTGCTCAAAGACATATATATGTATATAAATATATAAATATATAACACACGCACGCACGCATGCATGCACACACATATATATATATATGTATGTATATGTATATATATATATATATATGACAACATACTGTATGATTGCTGACTTTCGGCAATTTCAATGATGTTGGGGTAAGAACTAGTACTCACAGCGCCACGCGCAACGAGATCGCAGAGGATGTTTTCGTCAAAGAATTTCGCATTCTCCGTATTTTCAGTGTTCAGCATCCGATTGCCCACCTGCAAATAGTAAAATTGTTCCATTCATATCCTTTTCAGTTTAGCATCCGATCTCCCAATGACAAATATTAGAATTGTTACATTCATATTCCGGCCCGTGTCAGACGGAGAGGGTCATAGGATATCCCCCCATACTCCGAGGTGAATACTGATAGGAGAAGAAAAAATATGTACATACTACACACACACAGTCACTTACGGCCTTCAGAAATCGGGGCGATACAGCCGAATAAGGATCGCGACTTCTCTTGGGCTTGACGGATTCTAAATATAGATGTGCTCCCTTTCTGAACTCGTCCGGCGAATCAGATTGCAGCATTTCCCAAATGTCTGCCTTTGCGTGATACAGCTTTCTCATCCCTTTCTCCCACTCGGCGGCTATATTCCTATTTCTCATATCTACTTTGGAACTGTCTACTATAGACGACACATTGGGGATGTCATAGGTGGCGGCGCGCATGGTGTCTAGGTACTTATATGGTGCTGTTCTATTTATAGCCATCAAATCAGATACCTCCACGCCCTCCAGTCGGCCTATCGCCGATAGCAGCGATACTTTACCGGTGTTGTACACGTGACAGATATCCACGTACCGCCCGCACACACTCAAGAACACTACATGGAATTGAAACAAGAGGAAGTATAGGTGAGGATATAACTAGGAATCATTGAGAAGCGAATGCCAAACTATACATCGAGATATATACTAAAAATTTATGGTATCCATGATAGACATGTACACGTTGCAGCTCAATCCATAACAGATAAGGATACCTCCACGTACACTAAGGTGTGATACGTGAGTGCCATCCCATACACTCCGGATTGATGCATGGGTGTATCTGATTATTTCTATCAAGCGTACAAACAGATGTGTGCAAGACCCGACATTCCACGCCCGTTTCTGAGTGAACTAACAACTTACCCCATGACCTCATCTCAGCCCATTCACATATAAAGTAACAACAATAAACCAATAATACGATTCACAGATACGCACATCACACGATAATTCACCTGTCTGTACCATTCTACGCCCGTGTCTGAGTGAACTAACAGCCTTCCCTGGGACCTTTCCTCAGCCCATTCACATGTAGATAAATAAAAAGAAACCAGTAATACGATACACACACACGCACATCCCACGAAGATTCACCTGTACTATTCGACGCCCGTGTTTGAGTGATTTGGTATCTGCCTCTGTGGTCTTTAGAAGTGCGACCAGACTGCGCCAGAGGCTTATGCTCTCGGAGCTCTCGTTGTGCCTAGAGAAATATCAAAATAGAGTTCGAAAATATCAATTAAAAGGGTTTGATAATATCAGGATTAAGTTTTGATAATATCAGGATAGAGTTTTGGAAAATATCAGGATATAGATTTGAAAATACCAGGACAGGGTTTCGATAATATCAGGATAGAGTTTTGATATTATCAGGATGAATTCTTGATAATATCAGGAAGGAGTTTGATAATTTCAGGATAGGGTTTGACAGAATCGTGATGAAGTTTGACATGAGAGACTGATAATTGCACGACAATTGCATGCATGTATGCGTATCAGTATATGTATATCGAAACGAAAGTTGTTGGGGAGTGTCACACATACATACTCGATATTTGCTAACATATATATACTTGCATATGCCACATGTTTCCAACACATACATCTACGCCTGCACATATATACGTACGCATATACTCGCGTATGTGTAATGCGTACGGGTGTTTTCGAACTTGTCTATCCTGTAGGATTCTCTATTCTACCTAGCATTTAGACCTTCCATGCTTCTCCAAAAGTATATATACGATTATTAGTCAGCACTAACAAACCCCGTCGACAACGCAATCGAAAAATGAACAGAAGCATATATCACATAAGTTATATATGTATATATATATAAATTATATATATATATATAAATAATAATATATATATATATAAATAGTCTATATATATATATACAATCTTAATATATATATATATATAGATATAATCTTATTATATATATATACATATATATGTGTGTGTGTAATATATATATATATGTGTTGTGTGTGTGAGTGTGTATGCATGTATATATGTATGTCTGTATGTAAGTATATATATATATATATTGTATATATCGCATACCTGGAGTGTTCCGTAGTTTGTTTCCCATAAAGTCATGGTGTATTTCTGATCCGGTGTTTCGCCCGTAATAGCCAGAAGGGAGTCACCCGCACTGGACATTGCAATCGCCGGCGATTCAGCCGATTTGGGCCCCTTACTCGTCTCGAATCTATTATTAGAATTGTAGAGTATTATTAAAATTCTATGTATAGAGTTTTAGTCTATTATTAGAACTGTAAAATATATCAATACGCCTTAGAAACTATCAGCTGCAGTTTCTTGGCTGCTTTTTATAGTCTATATTTAGAAAGACTGCACCAGGTTCGCTAAACAGATACGATCAGACCCAATTATATCCACATCTGTTGACTAACGCTTTCTATCAATGCGAAGTCGTTATCCTTAGCTTCAGCTATTATCTTGCAAGGTTTTTTGGGACTGTCTTGCATCTCCGTGATTCGCTTCCGTATATATATATATATATGTTATATATAGCGAGTGTGTATGTGTGTGTCTAAAATTTTAATGAAATATGAAACTACAAATTCATGCGTAGGTTTGAACTTACCTCTGACAACAGATCAAAGACATCGCCAACAAGCAATAAAGGGATAATCACGTATATGTCCGAACAAAAAGGTATCAAAATACATAATACGTAGATGAATTAAGATATAAATAAACACATGAATTAACATTTACATACACAAGAAAAACATATATACGCATATATATATATGTGTGTGTATATATATAGATAATGTGTGTGTGTATGTGTGTGCGTGTGTGTGCGTGTGTGTGTGCGTATATGTGTTTCTGTGTGTGCGTATGTGTTTTGTGTGCTTGTGCTTCTACGTGTGTGTCTGTGTGTTTCTTTGTGTTTATGTATGTGTTTCTGTATGTATGTGTACACCACTATACTCACCTGAACATTGACAGTGTCCTGCAGAATCGTGGATTGTTTGGCCCATCCTCACTCAGTGTGCTCACATCGAACACACACAGCTGTCCGTCATCACACACCACCGACAACGTAAGCGAGTTCTTATCCATGCACGCAGACACTACAGCTGCAGGCAAACTCAGCCTGTACTGGGTACTCAGTGTCGTATGCATACTCTCGGTATCGAGTGTATATGTCTGCCAAGCGTGCAGGTGCGTGCGGCTGTTCTCCAATTCGATTGTAGATGCGTACAGGGCACCTAGAGTGACCTGTCCCATGAGCGTGTCTGCATTGCGACCGTTCTTGGTATTGGAGTTGAGCGTGTACATGGCTGGATGGCAAGAGAGGAAAGGCGAATGGGGGATTGATATTAAGCGGGCGGATATACGCGCACATATTTGCAACTAGGCAAATTTCGTATAATTCAGGAACATATATGTTTACATATATATATTTATATATATATATAAGCACACACGTAGGCTTACCTGCAGCGTGGGGTACGCCCTTGGTCTCGACGTTCTTTGGCGCATCAGAGAGAGCCTTGGGAGTGACCAGATCACAGTTAGTCTGTGTTAGCTTTCCATTATTGAACAGTACTGCCACACCCTTGAGTCGAGCATCTGCTACTATCGTCTGGACAGAAATCTTGAACTGTAAAAGTGCGTAGTATAGAATGAGAATATACTTTGTATGTATACGTGTGTGTATATCACATCCATATATATATATCATACGCACATGTGCTTTATACGCATGTATATATTATACGCAAGTATATATTATACGCTTGTAGCATAAGGCATGCATATTTCTAAAAATAGCTCGATGTATCCAATAAGTGACAACCTCCGGCCAAGCAACTTCAACATCTGACCCGATAGAGTTCTTCACGTGTGGTAGCATATGAAATTGCGCGAGTATACATATGCTTATAGATATGTCAATATTCCAATAATAAAACATTGCAATATATATATTCATATATATATATATATATATATATGTGTGTGTGTATATATACATATAAATATATATATATATACATATTTATATATATATATATACGTTATATATACTAATACATATATACTTCAATGTGTATGTATATATATAATTATATATATGTTCGCATATATTATGTTTGTATATATATATATATATGATAAAGACCTACCTTTTGCGATTTACCATCCGTGAGCTTCTCCTGAGTCGGCGCCCATGTGCGTATTACACGATTGCCCTCAACGACGTACAATTGTTTGGTTTGGGGATGCTGAATAGCGTGGTGTGTCAGCACTGTTGTAGGATCGACAGACCAACTGTTGATGCACCGCTGATCACCGACCTATGTGGTGAAGTGAAGTAAAATAGAGGCTGTGTGAGTCCTACGTCTATATATATATATATATATATATATATGAATATATGTATATATATAAATGCGATATATATATACGTGTGTGTGTGTGTGTGTGTGTGTGTGTGTGTGTGTGTGTG